GGTGGCTTCGACCTGAAGTGCAGAAGGAGTTCGACTCAGCCGATCCAACATCTGGATCTGCCTTAGCCGAACCTCCGGCAGGCTACTCGCTGCTGTTCGGACTATTCTTATAGATGCCGAACAGCAGTGAGTGAATAGTGTTCTGCTCGGTCCCTCTGTGGTATCAAGCAGAACAGAAAAATATTTTATAAAGTAGAAAAAAATAAATAGAAAACAATTGTGTGGTGCTAGCAGTGACAGCTAGCTCCGCCCAACAGTTTTCTATTGGCCGGCGGTTCTGCTGCCATCAAAAAAAAGAGGGAAAAAAACCTCTCCCAGGCGCTCCGGGAGTCTCCCGCTCCCGGTCGCCAAGGAGAGAAACACTGATTTTTCTATTTTTTTTCTTTATTCTGACACAGAGCCGTGTCAGAATAGAAAATAAATAAAAATAAATTTTGGCCATAGGAATGCATTGCTAGATTCCTATTGGCTATTTCAATTTGCAATAGCCAATAGCAAATTAGCTATTGTACCCGCCCTCTGCTGATGTCAATCAGTAGTGGTGGACATGATGGAGAACTGCAGAAGAGGGCGGGTGCAATGCTAGTTTGCTAATTACTATTGCAAATTGAAATAGCCAATAGGAATCTAGCAATGCACTCCTATGGCCAAATTTGTTTTTACTATTCTGACACGGCTCCGTGTCAGAATAAACAAAAAGAAAAAGCAGTGTTTCTCTCCTTGGCGGCCGGTAGCAGGAGACTCCCGGAGCGCCCGGGAGAGTTTGCTGTCTGGAGATCAGTGTCCCTGGTTAGCTGGTAACCAGGGACGCTGATCTCTCTGCAAGTGGCCAGAGCCAGCCGTAACATCACGGCTGGCTCCGCCCAGCTGTCAGAAGCAGGCTGTTGGCTGACTGCTCGGCCTTCTTCAACTTTCAGCGCGGCTCAGCCAAGCCGAGGCATATGCGTTTGGCTCAACTGAGCCGCTCGGCCAAGTTCGGGAGCTGTACAGGCTATAGGGAATAGCCCGTACAGCAGCCTTTCGGTTCTACTGAACAGGGGCCAAAGCAAGCCGAAGGATCGGCCGAAGCTACGGCTAGATCCTTCGGCTGCTTCGTGAATAGACCCCTATGTGATAAATAACCTTGTGATGTGAAGTGAACATTACAATACCAGAGTTTTTACTTGCTCACTCAACCTAATTGACTTTTGTTGTGTGGTCATGAAGTGAACATTACAAATGCCACCGTTTATACTTGCCATACAAACTTATGTGATCAATAACCTTGTTATGTGAAGTGAACATTGCAAATTCCAGAGTTGTTACCTGCTCATTCAAACAATTGACTTTTGCTGCTTGTTTTGAAGTGAACATTACAAGTACCACCATTTACACTTCCTCATTTAAACTTTTTGATCAACTACCGTATGAAGTGACTGTTTTTTGGACTTGTTGAAAGGAGATCCGATGGAGTTCCATCTTCCGATCATAAGAGGTATTATACCATATTTTTTATACAATTAGCTTGGTTTTTATACAGCAACAGTACCCAATCTGATTCATTTCAATTTAAAAAGACTTTACAAAGACAAAGTTTACAGAATCAGAATAGATTCTGTATTGAGAATACATTACTATAAAATTGGCCTGGAGCAGAACAGTTTTATTCAGGGATGATAGACTTAACTGGAGTATGCCTCATTTTTTAAAATATCTATGGGGATAGGGGTTGGGGCTAATGTGAGTTATAAAATAACATAGTAACATAGTAGGTAAGGTTGAATAAAGACATGGGTCCATAACTGATAAGTCATCAGTGTGTCAATAATGTCTTTATCAACAAAAATACCAATGAAAAAAACACTTTTTTGAAGGAAAGCCTTGCAGCAAAAAAAGAAAAAAAAAGAAGTTTAACCTAAACATAATTCCTATAATTATACAGTGAAAACCAAAATAAATGAAAATCAAATAATACCCTCTGAAACAGAAGTCCACTTTTTTAAGGGAAGCCTTGCAGAAAAAAAGAACAATTCTAATTCTAACAATCTAAAATAAAGGTTGCATCAACATAAAATAAGGAACA